TTCTCTAGCTGCCTAGTTAGTTAACCGCGTACCGCGTACCGCCTATTTCTTTTCCCTGATATTACATGGAGCGCGGTTTGCGGCACGGGCTAGTGACAAACTCACATTAGTATGAATTTTTTTAAATATATTAACTTATCTTTATATACACTTTATCGATACTCTTATTTTTTTAACAGATTTACTTAATAATTGCGTTTAAATTAATTAATTCCATTAAAAAGTGCATAGCAACGTATAGTAATGTGAGTTTGTCATTAGCCCGTGCCGCAAACCGCGCTCCATGTAATATCAGGGAAAAGAAATAGGCGGTACGCGGTACGCGGTTAACTAACTAGGCAGCTAGAGAACCGAGAACCGCGTACCGCGCTCCATGTAATCGCACCCTACACTTCGTCCCTATATTCCTTATATCTATGCTCAACAGTTTTGCAACTGTTTTATGATTCGTCTCGCTAATTGGATTATTCTTTTAGATCTAAAGGAATAGTCCTATCTGAGCGAAGAATCATAAAATATTCGTAAAACTGTTGAGTCTGCTGAACGCGACCAATGGTTACGGCCTACTATAAACTGCCCTAAGACTATCACGTATTGTAGAACGGGTCTTAGGTTCAGTTCTCTCTACTTCTGCTGTAAGCAGCTGTAAGTGAAAAAGGCGTAAACATTGGAACACTTGAGAATGTTTAATAAAAATGATTCGTAATTATCATAAACTATCTTTTAGAAATAACAGGTTTTTGTCACTTTTTTCTTCTATTAATATTTTCTTTTTTTTTTTAACGTATTAATTTCCTCGCCTTTTAAAGGTATAATTGCACTATATTCAAAGTTTGAAAAATTTACATTATTTTCGATTATTTTTTTTTTTCAAGTATCCATTAGTTCCTTTTTCTTTTTCAGAAATAGTTATATTTCATATAAGAGGAGGTGGAATAAAAAATCATGTAGAAGCATACCATGTCCAAAGTCAAAAGCAGAGACAAAAGTTTCATGTTCTATTCCAGTTAAAACGTATAATTCTAAAGTGAAATTGTTTCAGTCTAGATGTCAAATATGGAAGACAAATCGTACTACGGCAAAAATTTCAAAATATTCTATATTAGAAAGAAAGAATACAGGGCAAGATATATGTTATAACATTTTAAATACAGATATTGGGCTTAACAAATGTTATAGAAACATTAATTTAGATAGTGTTACTTATGCTTTATCACCAATAATGGAATTGTTCAAGAACCGGCATAATAAATATAATTATTTTGATAAGTTAAAGTGTATAATAGAAAAAGATAGCAAAAAGTATACATCCTTGAAATTTAAGCATCAAGTTCATGTCCATTCACTACAATCTTTCTTTGGTTTATTGGTATATGAAAATGTTCCTTTTGAATTATTTGGTACATTAAAAAATCAAAAGGCTATAAAGAAGACAATATCTCATCTCTTAAAGACAGTTCCAGATAAAATATTAATAACAAGTGCTTTTAAGAGAACTGTACGAAGAACAGTTGTCATTGGAGCATCATTAGATATAGAACTATTATTCAAGAAGCTAGATGTATGTTTTTTCAATGATTAAGTGAATTATAGAAAGTTTTGATCTTGTTAAGATGATTATCATTTTTTATCAATTTGATAATTTTTTAATATTTTATGCAATATTTTTCTTTTTTAGGTTTCTAAAATTAATTGGTTACATTCAGTTGATAATACAATACAATGGATAATTTTACTGAAGCTACTATATTGGTTTTTTACACAATATATCATAAAGATTTTACATAAATATGTGGTCTTGAAAGCAGTTAAAAAGCAATGGGTTTATATCATGAAAGATGATTGGTGTAATATGCAGAAAGAATATATAAAGGAAAAAGAGAAATCTGGTAGTCTTATTCCATATACAAAGTTAAATAAGAAACATGTTACTGGAATATATAAATTTATTCCAGGTTCTTCTGGTTTGAGACCTTTATTTTTGACAAAGTACATAAATATTTACTTAGCAAATATTCTTTCAATGTTGTTCTCTTATATTACAAATAAATACAAATAATAAAGTGTGTTATATATATTTACAATTTTAGGCATGATATTAAAACAAAGTATGATGAAATGGACGTTGCTTTAAGATTTCTTCAACAATTATATGTTACATACTTTAATGAAAGTGGGATCCCAACTATAGCAAGCTGTAAAAATGCAATTTTTAGTTTTATAACACCAAGATCTAAGGATCATTTATATTTTATTCAATGTGATATTAAAGATGCATTTGGTTCAATATTACAAGGTATAATTTATTGTTAATTACATTTGGTATATTTGTTATCAAGTCATTGTAATTTACTATTTTATTTTAGAAAAATTATACAATATTATTCAAATGTGTTGCCAAGAATTAGAAAGGTATATTGCAGTACGAATTTGTATCCTAAAAAGACCTAAGAAAAAGCAAAATAGAATGAACAAATATACAGTGCAAATTATATCTAATTATCTGAAAAGATCAATATTTAAAAATATAAATCCAAGCAAAGAAAAACCCAAGTTATTTAAAAAAAAATGGATCATTAATAAGTTATACAAATTAATATTCCAGCAAAAGGTAAAAAGTAAATATACATGAAAGTTGCAATTAACATTAAATAATATTTTTATTTATCATAGGTTAAATTGAATGGTCAAATATATTCAATAAAAGATGGCGTACCACAAGGTTTATCAATATCTTCGATCTTATCTCATATTTATTATCAACACATGATTAGAGAGATATTCTCTGAATATACAGACAACGGTCTTTTAGTTATATATGTTGATGATATTTTATATTTGACTGAGACTGAACATCATGCAGCAAAGTAATTTCAGTAATCTTGTTTATATTACAAAGTATTTGTGCGCGCGCATACACGCACCCATATGCATACATGCACACACAGACAGACAGACAGACTCCTCATATATGGTACTAATGTTCTCTTAAAATTTTTAAATCTTTTTTCTCTTATTTCATTTGGTAAATTGTTGTACACACACACGCACGCACGCACACACATTTTAAATCTATCATATAATAATATTCTCTGTTCTTCTCTAGTTTTACATCTTTTAATTGTATATTTCCCTCTAATCTTCTTTGTACTCTTTCCTCCCTTCTTACTTGCTCTATCTCATTTTTTAAATAACCCGAACAATCTCTATTTATCATTTTTATGTATCAAAATACAAACATTGTATTCAATTTTTTTCTTAATTGACATAAATTGCAATGCTTTAAGAATGTCTTCGATTCTTGTCCTGTAAATTGCACCATAATATAATTCTCATTCCCTTATTTTGTAATTTCTGTAAATAATGCACACATTATAATCGTTTAAATTCAGTAATATAGACGGACAATATTCAAACGGAGCAATTATCGCTTTGTATATAACGTACCTCATGTATGGCGTCAAATTCATAGTAATTCGACGAAATGCCCCCAATTTTGATCCTATCTTTTTCCCTAGACAATTAACATGTGCTGTAAAATTAAAATTTCTCTATAATGACATCTAAATATTTAATTTCACTGACCACTTCTAATGCTATATTTTCTAGTTTTACTTTTATATTGCTTTCCGATACTTTTTTCCTAATACCTCTCTCACTAACATAACTTTAGTTTTATTCACATTTAATTTCATTCTATTATTTTTTAACTATTCCTCAATTTTTTGCATCTGTAGGGGATAGTGGTCTAAATCGGACCTACTTACAGTTGTTCTCTATAAGGCATAAATAAAGTCCGATCATAAAACCAATGCCATTCGAAAGATCATTTAATTTCCTTCATTTTTGCTTGAAACCATTTTGATGTTACCTCTTACCTGTATCGAACTATGGAAAATGTAAAAATACATTTTCCGGTCCGATTTGGAACCATGAGTTCCGAACCGGACCCCTCTTATTTTTATGAACTTTTAGATAGAATTTTAAAATATTTCAATTAATTTTTATTAGTATTGAGTAAAAACGAGCAATTTAAAACTTAAAGATAAAAATACAGTTTATATTATTAGAATTAAAATCAATAATAAATTCCATCAAGTCGAGTCTGATGATACATGATGATACATGAATATTTTATTGATTTCGTGTTCTTTAGATCACCAGTACTACAACCAAGTTGTGGCGAATCTTCTTTCTTCAATGAATTAGTTGGCTTACTCGTTTTTTTAGTGTTTTTTTTTATATAAGTCCAATTTGGACACCCAACTTGTGGTCCGATTTAGACACGGGTTCTGTCGAACTAATGGAACAAATTTTACAATAAATCGCAAAAGTAATCACAAAACTTGATATTTTTGAATTCTACACTCTTTAATTATCTTAAATCAATTATCGTTCAAATTTTTAACATCTTTTAAATAAGGATTTACAAGGATTTCCTTTTTTAAAAAAATTTTCGCATGTTAGCCGAAAATACATATTTGCGTCTATTCTATGAACGTCATGATAGAGTACTGCCAAATTGCTGTTATATGTTCGGTATTTTATAAGGACTTTACGTTATAAATAGCACGTAAATCTACTTAATCGTATTTATTTAAATTAAAAGGTCCGATTTGGAACACGATCCGATTTAGAACATTCTCCCCTATATTAAGATTCTTTCTTGGCTTGAATGGCTTATTGTATATATTAGTGCATCATCTGCGAATAATCTAATTTCACAATTGCTACAAACAATTCTTATCAAATCATTTATATACAGGGTGGGCCATTTTAATCTCCCCACCTGAATTTCTCGTAATCTAAGCCATATAGAGAAAAATGGTCCAGACAAAAGTAGAAGGGGACAGAGGGGGTCACCTAATGGTACCAAGGACCTTGACCTTGAACTCGATTTTCAAGTTTATTTCAAGGTCAAAGTGATTTTTGTAAATAGGAACACCTATTTTTGACCCCGGATTTGAAAAGAGCGGGAAATTTTACGTCCAAAATGATATGTTTATCAAGGTCATGGCAAGATCGAATGAAGGTCAAGTTTGCGAATTTTGATTTTCCAATTGAATATACCGGAACCAGACAAATGTTAAAGGGGGCCGAGGGGGTCACCTATCTGTACTCTGATCTTGACCTTGAACTCGATTTTCAAGGTTATTTCAAGGTCATAGTGATTTTTCGAAATGGGAATCACTATTTTCGAGGGTTTCTTTAACTGTATTAACCTTACTTTTAGCGCTACCCAGAAACAATGACGTGGACGTAGTAAGTACTGTTTCCTTTTGAGTCTCCTCGCCTCTCACTATTTGGGGTGCTGGATTAAAGTGAGTCCCCTCGCCTCTCACTATTCGGGGTGCTGGATTAATGTGAGTTCCCTCGCCTCTCACTATTCAGGGTGCTGGATTAAAGTGGGTCCCCTCGCTTCTCACTATTTTAAAAATTATTAACTTTGAAGCAAATGTTCGAAGTTGCCTCCATTTGCTTGAAGGTAAAATCAAACGTCTTTGGAAATGGCGTACGGTGTTAAGGAGAGTTTGCCTTGGAATTGCTCAAAGTTAAGTTAATATTTTTTAAAATAGTGAGAGGCGAGGGGACTCACATTAATCCAGCACCCCGAATAGTGAGAGGCGAGGGGACTCACTTTAATCCAGCACCCCGAATAGTGAGAGGCGAGGGGACTCACTTTAATCCAGCACCCCAAAGGAAACAGTACTTACTACGTCCACGTCATTGTTTCTGGGTAGCGCTAAAAGTAAGGTTAATACAGTTAAAGAAACACTCGAAAATAGTGATTCCTATTTCGAAAAATCACTATGACCTTGAAATAACCTTGAAAATCGAGTTCAAGGTCAAGATCAGAGTACAGATAGGTGACCCCCTCGGCCCCCTTTAACATTTGTCTGGTTCCGGTATATTCAATTGGAAAATCAAAATTCGTAAACTTGACCTTCATTCGACCTTGCCATGACCTTGATAAACATATCATTTTGAACGTAAAATTTTCAGCTCTTTTCAAATCCAGGGTCAAAAATAGGTGTTCCCAATTTAAAAAATCCACTTTGACCTTGAAATAACCTTGAAAAACGAGTTCAAGGTCAAGGTCCTTGGTACCATTAGGTGACCCCCTCTGTCCTCTCTACTTTTGTCTGGACACTTTTTCTCTATATAGCTTAGATTACGAGAAATTCAGGTGGGGAGATTAAAATGGCCCACCCTGTATAGTAAAGAAACAATCCTAATACTGATTCCATTAAATTTAATTCTCTGTGTTCTGTTTTATAAATAACTATTAAACCAACTAAATACTATCCCTGTTATCTCATAACTTTCCATTTTCTTTAACAAAATATTTCTATCTACTAATTTAAACATTCTTTTTTTTAAATCTGAAAATACAACTATCATTTTTCTTTCACTTATATTTCTTTTCCAACTCACATGAGTGTCTTGCTCTAAACCCTGATTGGCACTCTTCTATTATAATAATTTATTATCCTCCAAATAGTTAACTAATTGACTGCGAACTATTATTTCTAGTACCTTCTCGTAAATCAGTAACTTATTTATTGTAGGTTGAAATTCTTCTATTATTTTTATTCTTTGTATTTTTGATATAGGAATTACAATAGCTTCTTTCTATTCAATTGAGAATATTTCCTTTAAGGATCTATTCAGTACTTCACATAATTTTATACCTGCTACTGTTACTTTTCATTATATTTCAACAGTTATTCCTTCCTCTGTACCACTTTTGTTTCCTAATCTATGAAGATGAACTATTCGATTTAATTCGCCTACAGTAATTGTACTAAAAACTTCAAATTTACTTTTAGAATATTTATCTATTATTAATTTCATTGTATCATCACTTTTTAAAAACTTCAAATTTACTTTTTAAAAAGTGATGATACAATGAAATTAATAATAGATAAATATTCTGAAAGTAAATTTGAAGTTTTTAGTACTCTGATATGCTACCTACAAAATGTATTACAAATATTTGCCATATATTACTATCAAAGTGTCTCCACACTGAATCTTCCTTTATGTATTATCTACTCGTATCCTTCAGCAGCTCCCGAAGCGATCTCCACATTTGTCTAGGATTTTTTTTTATTTTTATCTAATCTAGATTCTAAATAATTTTTCTTGGCCTTTCTACATTCATCAACCACTTTGTTTCTTAGTTGTCGAAACAGTTCCCAATCATCATTGCTCTTGCTTATTTGAACTAGGTTATAGGCCTTATCTCTTAGATTTACCATTTGACGGATCTCTCACCTCGGAAAACCTTTGCTTACCTCGTAATTTATTTCACAGTAAGTTTATTTCTAAGCGCAACTTCACCAAGACACTTTACAATCGCATTTATAGGGAGAGGGAGAGAGAG